AACTGATTGTAGGATCTGGCCTCTTTTATATATTGGAGTTATAACTTACATAGCAATAAATTCCTTCTGTACAGCATCTTCCAGAAAGCCATAAATGAGTCACCTTGTCAAGCTTTACACCTCTGAAGTACAAAATACTATGCCATTCTTCTTATTACTTCGTTGGTGTTAATATTCCTTGCTTTATGTAGTATTAGATGAGAGAGAGCAACCTCTGAAAATATAACTATTTGCCTCTTAGGATTCCATTCTTGGGCAGATGTGTATTCTGAATGTAATGCATGAGGCTTTAGTTTCATGTTATCATACACCTAATTGAAGTAGCACATCTAGAGCTCTTGGCATAAAAATAAAAAAATATCCAGATAAGACTGATCTATAGACAAGTTAACTTCCTTTTGTGAAAAAATGCCATGGAATTTGTACACATTAATAGCATGTATTTGCCACTTTTGTAAATCCATTTCTTTATATAAAAAGAGTTGGCCATATAAATTAGGTGTTGCTCCTAATCCCAGCTTTCTTCCAAAAGAAAATTAAAGGAAGCAAACAAAATTTCAAATCCTTTAGAGAAGATTGGGGTGGAAGTGAAACTTCATAGAAGCCAATATTTTATTTTTTAAACAGAGGGAAAAATTATTTGGCATCATTGATGCTTTCCTAAGCAGCTCTGCTGTTTCAATACTGGCTGCTTCTTGATTGCTGACTGCCAATTTGCTGCTTTGCTGGCACACTGCAGGAAATTAAAGTAAACAGTGTGATCACAGTGTTTACGTTAACTTTGTAAAATACGGAAGGAAAATGAAGCAGTGCTGTTTGTTCCAGGAGGGTAGGCAGGCAAGCAGGAAAAGTCTGAACACAATATCCCTCCCAGATATCCCCACACAATATTCCCTTGTAAATGTCACTTGCAAATTATACTACAAAATTAATCAGTCTTACTTGCAAAATAGTTACAGCTCTTCCAGAAATAGTGAGCAAGGATGCAGGCTATCAACGAAACTGTGTACTGAAGCAAGGCACTGACTCTTTCTAAGTGCAGTGTAAGAGGATTTATCATTTTCCAGAGGCAAAAAAATTCAACAGTGCAAAGTGCTATTTTATATAAAAATACAGAATCCCTGTTAGAACAGAGGGTGATTTGTGTAAACTCAGCTGAATCAAATTGAAAGTCTTCTCAATATCTGAACACAAACATATTTTCTTGTTTTACTGAGGGTCATACAACTAACTGTCTGGCTTTTGCCAGCAGTAAAAAGAAGCTTTCCTGTGAGACATCAGCTCTTTGCTCTACAATGATGTCACCGTGTCCCATCATCAACTTTCACTGGAGTCACTGAATTTGTTTTGATTCACTGGTGTCACCATTGCCATTCTACAACACCCAACTGGTGTATAGTTTTGCAGGAATTTTTACCTCTTAAATTAACATGACCCTGTAAAACCACTGTGTATAATCATTTCATTCTATCCGTAA